TGCATGCTTTCGAATATTTTGTGTCGCAACGTTTTCGGGATAAATGGTCGCGGTCGGCCTGTTGATGTATCGCAAATTACTTTCATGTTACCAAACTGCACCTCTTCGAGTACTAATGATGTTGTACCACCGGATCTGAGTTTATTTAACTCGATGTCTCTCTCCTGCAACTTTGCTAGACCGTTATAATCAATTCCACTTGCCATAAGTGTGCTTATCGTTGCTCGTGACAATGCGTCGGCCACATCGTTTTCTTGTCCTTTAACGTACTGTATGTCGGACGTGAACTGTGAAATGAACTCTAGTTGTCGGATCTCTCTCGGGGAATAATTGTCTTGCTTTGCGCTTAATGCTTTCGTTAGCGGTTTGTGGTCTGTATAGACGGTAAAACTTATGCCTTCGACCATATGACGGAAGTGTTTTATTGCTAAGTAGATTGCTAATAATTCTCTTCCAAACGTACTATATCTCGTTTGGGTAGGATTTAATCTTTTCGAGAAAAATGAAAGTGGCTCCCATACACCGTTTACTAACTGCTGCAAAACGGCTCCTACTGCTAAGTTCGATGCGTCTGTCATTACTGCTAATGGTGCTTCGCTCTTTCGTCGTACCAACATCATCTTCTCATTTAGCGCTCGCTTAGCGTTCTCGAAAGCCTGTATAGCATCCGCTGAAAGACGGAATGTTCGAGTATGTCCTCGCAAGGCGTCCGTCAATGGCTGTAATATTGCTGCGCAGTTTGGGATAAATCGTCTATAATAGTTTATTAGCCCCAAGAATCTTCGTAATTTTCTTTGTGAATCGGGCAACGGATAATTACGAATAGCAGCAACTTCTGTCGGAACTGGCATGATACCATGTGAATTTATCATATGACCTAGGAATTGCAATGATTCCTTTCCAAATTCACACTTTTCCACGTTAATAGTGACGCCATGTTCTTGAAGTCTCGTAAACAACTGTCGTAGATGTTGTAGATGTTCTTCCCTGGTAGAGCTAGCTACTAGTATATCATCGATATATGCGTGAACTCCTGTCAAACCCCTGACGACCTGATCGATGAATCTTTGGAAGGTTTGGGCTGCATTAGTTAATCCGAAGGGCATTCGCAAAAACTCGAATAACCCAAATGGAGTAATTATAGCCGTTTTAGATATATCTTCTGTCGCTACGGGAATATGGTAATAAGCTCGAACGAGATCGATTTTCGAAAATATCGTGGCACCTTCCATATTGGTAGTAATGTCGTGGATATGTGGTATCGGATATCTGTCTGCTATCGTTTGCTTGTTAAGGGCTCTATAGTCTCCGCATGGCCTGATTTCCCCATTCTTCTTCGAAACCATATGCAATGGGGACGCCCAGGGACTATTAGAAGGTCTTATGATACCAAGCTTCGTCAACTTTTCGAACTCTCGTTTCGCGACATTCAACCTTTTCGGGTCTAGCCTTCGTGGTCTTGATTTAGTCGGTGGACCTTTCGTTATAATATGGTGCTGTACCGTATGTTTAAGATCTCTGTTATCGTATGATACCTTCGTCAGATCGGCATACTCGTTTAGAAGCGATCTATATGGCTCGTTTTTGTCTTTTGACACTACTAAATTCATGGATGCGTGATCAGTCGTCACTCCTCTTATCACTACTGAATGGTCGCCGTTCACGAGCCGGTTTCGTCGGGTATCCACTAGTAAGTCAAAATTCTTTAAGAAATCAATACCGATTATAGGTACGGATACATCTGCGATAATGAATTCCCAGCGGAATGAGGTAGTACGACCGAAATTCAAGGTTACTTTTCGCTTGCCATATGTTTTTATATCGGATTTATTTGCTGCCTTAAGCGTTAGCGCTGTATCGATATTTCGTGTTTCGTTACTTACTGGAGGCACGACGCTTACTTCTGCTCCCGTATCCACTAAGAATTGAGCGCCTGTTACTCTATCCTGAACGTAAAATAAACGACTGTTTTTAGGAGCTGTTGTAGTTGTTGCGGCGTTTATCGACAATCGGTGTGTTCGTTTGAATTTACATGGTGATCTGCAGTTTCGAGCTTTATCGCCGAAAGTTTGATGGTACCAACATATTGTAGGAGCTGAGCGTCTCCTAGAACGTGATCGACTTCTTTCCCTCGATCTACTTCGTGACCATCCTCTTTGCGTATCGCTCTGATTTAGTTTCATCAGCTTGTGGCATAAAACATTAATCTCCTTTTGTAATGCATCGATTCGTCCATCTATTGTGGTACTATGCCCTTGCGGACTCGTTTGTTTCATTCTTTCATAAATCCTATCGGCTATTTTAGCAATGTTGTCTATATCGACATCGTTGTCCTCAACCGCAAGGATCTGCTGCACGTTCGCTGGGAGTCGTCGTAACCACAACTGATAAAATATGTTTTTATCTACTTTTCTGTCTCCGATTACGCTTCTCATATAGTTTTTTAACTGCGATGGAGTCCTATCTCCTATCTGCACTTGACTGAGAAGCTGTTCGATGGCTTGCCGGTCGCTTAATGAGACGGCTTTAATCACTGCCTGTTTTAATGCGTCGTATGGCTTTTCTATGTCTGGCTTGATTAAAATCTCTCGTACATTATCTGCTACTTCATCTGGAAGTAGCGAGCTCGCGTGGCCAAATTTATCTCGCTGTGTATGAACACGATTAGCTACAAAGTAATGTTCAAGTCTGATGAACCAAAGTTGAGGATCTGTGACCTTAAAAGGAGGAATAGTTACATTAATGGACCTCACGGACGGCGTTTGGGAAAGTTCTATTGTATCGTTGCTTAAAGACATATTCATGAAGATAAAAAAATTACACAAATATAATGCGAATGTCACAGAGAAAAGTGAGTCGATAAAAACAATGATAAAAACAAATGGTACAATTTATAACAAAGAACGGACTTACTAAATTGCACCAAAATATCAATTGTTTGTAAAAATATCGTTGTTTATTATGAATATTATTGTTATGTTCTATAATGTTTGTGAGATAATGTACGTATAATTAAAATAATGAGATAATAAATCCACAGTTATAATTATAATCCAAATGATAGTTACAATTGTAATCGAATACGTTGGATTTTAGGAATTGGATTATGTCGTTCAAGATTGTTTCGTGTTCGCGCGTCGGGATCGCCAATTATGTGGTGGTCGGTATTTGATATAATCCTTAAACTTCGTATACAGTTCGTCGCGATAACCGTTCTATATAACGTACCAACGGTATATTAATCAGAAGGCCAATACGAAGTGTCGATTACGTTTATTGCGAAACCACACACATATATCCAAATGTACAGATGTGTTAAACAAGCATAGAAGAGTTGTGCCGAAAGGCAAGCAAGCGAACGAGAGCCAGAGCAAGAGCGTGACGAGACCGTGCGAGCGAGTGAGCGATTGTGTGTTCAATATGAATAACATGGACATATATATACCATGTGAAATGAATGAGTAATCGAATCGAATAAGCGGTTAGTGGTAAGATTAGCAGAGTGAATAAATGCGTAGGCAGTAATCAATATTCAAGCATACGTATTTCATACAAGCGCAAAATAATAATAAGGATACAATAAATTGTTATAGCGCGGATGGCTTTGTCCGCTAAATAAGTTAACAAAAAGGGCTTAACTGGGTTAAATGAAAATAAACCCATTAGCACGTGAGTCGCTATACTCTTTTCAAAGATGGTGGTGACTTTCTGACTAAGGAATTGACGACGTTGTTTACAAAGGTTTGGGAGCTAGAGAGTGTACCAACGTCATGGAATGAGTCGATAGTTGTCCCTATCTTTAAAAAGGGTTCACGTCGTTCCTGTAACAACTATCGGGGGATAAGTCTACTTCCGATTGCGTCCAAGCTATTGGCTTCCGTCATTCTTCGTAGGTTGTTCAAAACCCGAGAAAGATTGACTCGCGAGGAGCAGGCTGGGTTTCGTTCTGGTGGAGGATGTATTGATCATATCTTCACCCTCCGCCAAATGTTAGAACACCGCCATACTTATCAAAGGCCAACAATCGTAGTGTTTCTTGACATCAGGGCTGCCTTCGATTCGTCGGATAAGACTGTTCTCTGGGATTGTCTATTGAAGAAGGGTGTGCCTGAGAAGTTTGTTAACATCCTAAAAGCCCTATATAAAAACACCTCAGGCAGAGTGAGGGCATACAACCACCTTTCTCCATTGTTCCATTCGAGCAGTGGGGTTAGGCAGGGTTGCCCAATCTCACCATTCCTCTTCAACTTTGCCATCGATGACATTCTGGAAACAGCTCTGATGGATGTAAGTAATGGCGGTGTGGATCTGTTGCCTGGAGAAAGACTTCTCGACCTTGAGTATGCGGATGATATTGTCTTACTGTGCGATAATGCCCAAGGCATGCAATCCGCACTTAATCAGTTGGGAATCAGTGTCCGTAGGTATGGTATGTGCTTTGCACCTTCGAAGTGCAAAGTACTTCTACAAGACTGGCAGGATTCCAATCCTGCACTCACCCTGGATGGTGAGCAGATAGAAGTAGTCGAGAAGTTCGTGTATCTAGGTAGCTGCATAAGTGCTGGTGGGGGTGTGAGTGATGAGATCAATGCACGTATAGTGAAAGGCAGAGCAGCTTATGCCAATCTGGGCCATCTTTGGCGCCTTCGTGATGTCAGTCTGGATGTAAAAGGTCCGCCCTATAATGCGTCGGTGGAAGCAGTTTTGCTCTATGCTTGTGAAACCTGGCCTCTCCGAGTTGAGGACGTTAGACAACTCTCTGTGTTCGATCATCGCTGTCTCCGAAGGATTGCTGACATGCAGTGGCAACACCATGTTAGTAATGCAGAGGTTCGGCATCGTGCGTTCGGGCACAGAGATGGTAATTCAATTGGCGTCACCATCTTGAAACACCGACTTCGGTGACTTGGACATGTTCTCCGAATGTCGTCCCAGAGAATTCCACAAAATCATTTTCTGATTCTATTAAACTTGTTTTTTTCTTCTTTTTTTTCTTCAAGAAATGGGAACCAACATTTCCAAATCCTATCCAATGTGCTAATTTTAATCAACGTCTTCTAGAACAAAAAGTATGTCTATCACAATTTTATTCACAAAATTTATATTCATTTAATGTACAAGTAAAAACAGTAAATGATACACAATCAAATTATTCAGATATAACAAAAGAAGTAAAATTACGTTATACATTAGATAATTGGAGAACTTACACAGAATCTCCATCATTAATACGTATTGATCAATCAAGTCACTTAGTAACTAACACTAATACATATCAATGGATAGAAACAAATGAATCTGAAATTATTTTATCAACAATTCCATTAGAAACTAAATTTTATCAATTAGAATTTGCTGTAGTATATAGAGGTAATAATTTTGAATATTGGGATAATAATAATTCACAAAATTATGTATGTTTTTCAAGTTCTTCATATTGTTGATTATTATTATTATTATTATTGTAATTATTATATTGTAATGATACATATTTGTTTCCTTTGCCTTACTCACTCACTCCCTCCCCCCCTCTCTCTTTCTGTCCTTCCCACTCTCCCTCTTTCCTTTTATTTCCCTCCCCCCCCCTCAGTGTTTTAAATTTATATGTAATTCAGATTTGTAGTCAATTACTGAATGAAAAAAAAAAGTAAACGATCAATGTATTTTAGTTCAATCATATAATTTATAGTTTTACTAATATAATTGATCTTTAATAATATACATATACATTTGAATCAGCGAGTGGAATTCATTAACTCAACACATGGTTAAAGCTAGATCTATGAACTCTTTCAAAAGAAAGTTGGATCAACTGAAAGACTATCGTGATCAGGTCATCAAAACCTTCTGTCCTTTCCAAACTGAAACTAATCTTGATAACCAGTAATTTTTGTTAAATGTTAAACAGTTGAGCACAATGATATACTATTAATAAACTATTCAGTTAAAAGAAAACACTAACCCTTTAGATATTCATCATTTGAATAAAAAGAGTTTATTTTATTATTTTGTATAAAAAGAACCAACTACTGAAATATGAATCTATTTTTTATTGTATTTTTTTTAAAAACCTAATTCAATTGTTTTGATAGAATAAATAAATTTGTGATGAGTAAGAGAATGTATGCTGAATGTTTTGTCCTATGTAGGACTCATCAGTGTCTTTATAAATTTTAGTCATTTTAACTTTAGAAAATTAATTAAATCTATGAGTGAACATAGTTTCAACAGATCATCTATTATTCAGTGGTCTTGAGTGCTGTTACAAATATGAGGGCGGTTATCACTTCCCGGTTGCCCACATCTAAGAAGGGTTCTTCTGGAGGTACTTGAAAACGAAATTGGAATAGAGGTGGTCTTAGTGACCTAAGAGCGTGACGGCAGTGCCCAAAGGACAACTGATTGAGGTCGGTCACACAAGACCTTTTTATGGGTAATTTTTATGTTAGCTCCGTACTTGTTGAGACCTCACCGCCAGAGACGGTTATCTGTGGGATAACACGAGGTGTGCATCTTTAGGGTCGACCTCTTCTAACCCCCCCCCTATGTGGGAAGGCAGCATCGCTGTTATGCTGGTTGTCTGAAGGAAACACCTTACTGCTGTCACACCTCTGTACAGTCGACAGTACGACTTTGCCTTCGGACCTTAAGTTTTTTGCTTTTAGTCTTACCGTTCTTCAATCGACCTGTCTGACATAGTAGGACCTTGAGGATGGATTATTCCAGCCAGTATAGCTCGATTGCTTCATCACGATAGGCAAGCCCGACCACCACGTCAAGGTAGCAACAACGGTCGGGTGATCTATTAATACAATACAAACATTCAATTTTGTATCGGCTTCGGTAAGTTCAACAGAATACAATATAGTTATGTGAGTGTTGAATTTCAGACTGTAGTTGCCTTTAAAAGTGTAATTATTCAAAATGTCAATTGGTGATTTTAAATTCTGTAATTGATTCTAACCATTAGCGGTAGTGCAACATGATATATGCATCAAGCAAAAATACCCGGTTTCATACATTCCATTTATGGAATGTCGATTGTATTGGTTCATAATAGTCATATTTCATATGACCATTTTCTTAGCTTTACCCGTTAACGCATTTAAATTCACACCATTATCGCTAATCATATCAGATATTTTAAAGATGAAATAGTAACTACTTGTAAGTAGTATATAATTTTAAGATCAAAAAACGGAATTGAAATTTAGTCCATTATATTTTATCATTGAAACGTTTATAGTAAGAAAAACCTTAGTAATAATTAAGAAACAGCCGTCGAAATAGCAATAAAAGGGTTCACTCCTTTCCACCAGTCAGTTAGTTTGTATCATAAAGACATTAATCTACAGCTAAATGGTAATAATGTCAGGCACGAATCGATCTAAGTTAGACCACTATTAGAAACCTGGAGATATTAGATGGCTGTTCTATCCTAGTATGAGATTCTCCTGCTGTGTGCTTTAATCACCTCGCACACGAGAACTGAGCCCAGGACCTTCGGTTTGACACGCGAACGCTTGACCTCTACACGACGGTGTCGAGTGTTGGGGGACTATGGAGGATTGTTGAGCATTATCGTAGATTGACTGAGGTTAAATATTTCACCTCTGGATTTCGATTCAGTGGTCATTCATCATTCTGTGAAACATTTTAACTGAAAAAATTAGTGCCAATCCTTCTTTTTCAACTTGACTATATTTACGTTCTGCCGAAGTCAACGTTATGGAAGCATGTGCAATAGCTTTCTCTTTGCCATCCGGAAACCTATGGAATATAACAACACCGATCCCATAATCAGAAACATCTGCAGCAACAACAGTTTTCAGTGAGGGATCGACATATGTAAGCACTATATCTGACGTTATAATCTATTTAACTAAGTAATTTAATCTTTGAAATGATTAAGGTAATCCAGTATGTCACTGAAGAAACGTTAATTCAGTTTAGAAACTTCTATAGCAGTTAGTTCATTTTATAAATTTCGATAGAACAATGAAAAGATGAAGTTGGTCTGAAAATTGGTGATGTATTTGCGTTATACATTTCGAACAATCTAGTCACGCATATACTTGTCAGGGCATTTTATATGACAATTAATAAAGGTCAATTAAATGAAAGTTCAAGTAAAAAAGGTAACAGAGGGGGATTACCAGGGTAAATTCAAGGTTACGACAAATTGTTTTTGTACATATAAGGGGGGGGTTAAATTTACGAATAGCCAAGGCTTCAATAAACTTAAGAATTCGTCCTTGACAATTTCTATACAACGTTCTAAATGCTGTATTAATGTCAATTTTGTACCCCTTCTCAATTGTATGTTTCGCTATCGATGAACTTGGTTTTCTACCTCCTACATTGATCGGATCATTTGACACACATTGATTTTGAAGCCATCTAGGCACATGTGTCAATGACCCTTGATTGCATTGTTCAATTCTTATACTTTTGATTGGCAAATTACTTTCATGTTACTACTTTTATTCAACCTCTGTAGCATTAAAGAACTTATGATAACTAAAAAAGCTGTACATAACCTCTATGATAAAATCTTTTTCTGCTTTTCAATAGATTTTCAATGTCAACAGTTGAGATCATGAGTCAGTTGAAGCTAGATCACCATGGAAAACCTGGAAGCACTGGACGGCCGTTTCGTCCTATTGTGGGACTCAGCAGTGCGCATCCACGACCCCGCCTCGTGGGATTCGAACCCAGGACCTACCAGTCAGTATATTTGTTAAATCACTATATCATCGTTTATGATGTAACAGGACGAGTGTTGTGGAATTATTGTTCTGGAGTCTATTACACGAAGGATTATATTTTTTGCATGTTCATTGAGTAGTTAACAGAGGCTTGTATTATTAAATTTTTATATTCTTCAGCGATACTATAATTTATGAACGAATTAATCAGATAAAAGATAATAGGTCCTGGATTTTGGTGCAAAATTCATTCATCCACTTAGCTAAATAGCGTTTTTGGATTTTAGTTAATGTCAGTTCGTGATGAAAATGCTAAATCTAGTTCCTAACCCTAATCATCAACTGCAAATCATCATTGGAATACCTCAAATGCTTTATCACTCATTCAGACATATTTAGTAGGCAGACATTCTCAAAGTCAGTCTAGTGTCACTCAAAGATCGTCCATAAATTACAGTCTCGCTTGTTCTTCTATTTCTAAGCTTTAATTAAACCTGTAAATCGTCTTTACATGTCTTATTGTTCAAAAATTACCATTTAGTAACAATTTCCACATTACTATGGTTTTACATCACTTATGTCTAAGTTATGTACGTATTGTAATTCTTCAAATGTATTGCTATGTGGTTAGGCATTTCAGGCATATTATTGTATAAACCCTGAGTCATGATTGAATTGAGTACAGCAGAGAGCTGATCTGCTTGTTATCAACATCTTTTCATTGACCATTGGGTTGGAAGGAGTTCGAGGACCGATAGTTGTTAAGATATTACTCGTTGTTCATTGGTCTGCGTGTTAATTGGTAAATAGGAAATCAATCCTTTTGGATTAGTGGATAATCGAACTAGAGAATTAGAGAATATTTAACTGCTTTCTTGTCATTACAGACTCAATATAACTTAAATCTGCCTTTTTTTCTGACATAACAAATTAAACAATTTCAGGAAATGTTATCATCAAAAAGGAAATTCTTTTCCTTGAATAGTCCTTATACTTTATTATTACGTTACCAGATTTATTCATTGTTTACATGCTCTCATATTATGATGTCAATGCACTGAATTTCATGTTGCTTATTCATGTTATTCTATTGTTAATGACATTCAACTATTAGATGAATCTCACAGATTGAAATCATGAGTCAATTGAAGCTAGACCACCATGGGAAACCTGGAAGCACTGGACGGCCATCCCATCCTAGTATGGGACTCAGCAGTTCGCATCCACGACCCCGCGAGATTCTAACCCAGGACCTATCAGTCTCGCGCCAGGCGCTTAACCAACTAGACCACTGAGCCGGCATCCAATTGTTCTGAAATTGAAGAGATAATGTTTTGTTGATGAGTAATATTCATAGATATCGGAATAGATAACGAACATATAGATCTTCGTAGATAATGGATAGTTTAACTTCTTGTTCAACTTATAAAATCAATATAAATAAAAGTGGATTGGTTGAAGTTACACATTAACACCGTTAGATACTGACCGGATCAGTGGTTTAGACGTTAAGCGTTAGTGCGCGAGACCGATAGGTCCCGCGGTAAAAGATTGTAGATGCACACTGTTAAGAAGTCCCATACTAGGACGAAACGGTCGTCTAGTACTTTCAGGTTTTTTATGATAATCTAGCTTTAATTAAATCATAAATTCCATTAATCAATAAATAAAAGTGTTCTTGTATAATGAGCCTGTGTAGTGAACAATCTTCTTAACCATCTGCCATCAAGCATTTCACTTTCGATTAATAATACATACTACTTATATCTGTCGACATCAGTAGCATATATCACACCTATAACTTAAATGAATATTTTGTATTTTTAAATTTCTTTCACAATATAATTTAATTGAAAACTTGAAGAGCAACAGTTGATAGACTAGATACTATCTAATAAAAGAATTAACGAATTATTTTAATTACATATTAGTTCAATCATTGTTATATTAAGGCAAACAGATATTAGATAGTTGGACATAGTCAAAAAGAATCATTGATGAATCTAGTTTTCATGGTATTTACCATTTGGGACAACAATCCATATCTATAATCTAAAATGAAACTGATACTTCTAATGAGATTGAAATCAACATAGTTCACCTACACAGTTTGATACGATAAACAGATAACTATTGAAATTATGTATCAACATAAGAATGAATAGAGTTTTGAAAGCTTTCAATAAAAGTGAAGTAAATCAAAATTCTGTAATAACTGACTTTGGTAATAGCTTATGCTGTTGGATTGTCTAAACTTCTGTTTAGTACACATGCCACGTTTCTCAATGTGAATTCTGTTAGATTGTACAGTACGCAAAAGATGAACATATAAACGGTACAGTAAATATAATGAAATACCCATGATGATTTTATTGGCTTTATTTAAATCAAATGAATGTTATTTATCAACCATAATAAAACAGATTTTATTCATACGTAATATACTACTGATTAAATATTGATAGTAAGATTATTAATGAAAAAAACAAAAGACAACAATTTTTTTATAGAAATTTCACAAGCTGAAATCATGAGTCAATTGAAGCTAGACCACCATGGAAAACCTGGAAGCACTGGATGGCCATTCCGTCCTAGTATGGGACTCCTCAGCAGTGCGCATCCACGACCCCGCACCCAGCGGGATCCGAACGCAGGACCTACTTGCTTCGCGCGTGAGCACTTAACCACTAGACCACTGAGCCGGCAACCACAAAACCCATTCTCATAATAATCAACTGCTCACTAGTGACTGGCTTCAGGAAAATACTCCTGGAGTTCTAGTGAGAAGCCGTTAGCAGTGGAGTTCAACCAGGTCTGTTGTGAGATAACAACTTACTGAAGACAATGGTGTACGGTGGCGCAACTTCGTGGATTGGTCGAAGTTAGACATTCACACCATTGGGTGCCGAGTCAGGGGTCTAGTCGTTAAGTGCTCGCGCGCGAAGCAAGTAGGTTCTGCGTTCGGATCCCGCTGGGTACGGGTTCGTGGATCCGAACTGCTGAGGAGTCCCAAACTAGGACGGAATGGCCGTCCAGTGCTTCCAGGTTTTCCATGGTGGTCTAACTTCAATTGACTCATGATTTCAGCTTGTGAAATTTCTAAAAAAAACTCCAAAAAACCCATTCTGACAATGTTATTTATTACATAACAGCAATAACCTAAAAAACAACTGACTACAATCATGATATTGATAATGTTTAATCGATCAATGTTAGGCATTACCAATGTTGGATCCCTGCTCACTGGTCTGGAATTTAAGCATTTGAGCATGAGACCGAAGATCATGGGAAGAGTTCCCTCGTCCCGAGTCGTGAATGCTCACTACTGAAGAGTCCCATACTTAGAGGGAACGGCCATCCACTGCTTCTACATCTTCATTCGTGGTCCAATATCGATCGGTTCACGATTTCAATGAACCACAACCAGTATTATTGGAGTGGAAAGTATTCACAAGGTTTAGGTGTATCAATGGTACTTCTCTCGATGACAGGCGCCAGTCGATAAATAGAATTGAATGCCACTTAAAAGTTGAAGTATTAACATTCATTTTTCCATGGAAATTACAATATTTACATACATTCTTTGTAAAAAGAGAGCAATATCAGTAACTTGTATAGTCATGTTGACAGTGGTTTATGTCATTATTATTATTATTATTATTATTATTATTATATTATTATTATTACTATTATCAATCATCATTTGTTTGTTGAAAAACAACAGTCTCATTCGAAACATCTTAGAAGGGGAATTTCAATAAAAGGCAACTTCTCTCTCTGAGTTCAATTAACCTGATGAGTGAATTCAATTATTGAATGAACTAAATTTATAAGACACTTCCAATTTCTCATCACTATATAGAAAGCATCGTGATAATGTTCACTGGATATAGTTCATGAAAGATAAACAGTTAATTGATCTAACTGATTACATAACAGTAATAACCTAAAACAAAACAAAACAAAACAGAAAAACTGATTACAATCATGATAGTGATCATGTTTAACATTTTAACTCAACTAGAATAAAGAAAATACCTAAACAATGTGAATAATTCCCATTCACAACAAACATAAGGAGGAAATACAACTAGAAGATGATTGACGGAAATCACTAACATCAATTTATATTTATCATATATACACATTATTCTCCATTTCGATATCATTTTCTTTATTCCTCTTTTCTTTGCTGAATGCTTCATCATCAAGATAACTTCGTTTCATTCCATTAATTCCATTATGTTTGTTCTATTTCCTCATGGCTAATTGTCTTTATTATTCTTTGTTTTAATGTGAGTCAATATAATGCGAAACTTCTCTTTTAATTAAGACATATCATTAATGGTTTTACTATTATTATTATTATTATCATTAGCATTATTATTATTACTACTGAAACTATAAACGTTATTAGCATGATGATGTTATTTCACTCGGCTCTTTGAACACACTACTAATTTGATTATTTCTCTTCACTTTTCTTCTTACCTCCATTTACACAATCATTTTGGATGTTGGATTCAGTGGTCTAATGATTAAGCGCTCGAGCGCGAGACTGATAGATCCTAGGTTGAAGTCTTGAGAGGCGGGATCGTAGATGTGCATTGCTGAGGAGTCTTACATTAGAACGAAACGACTGTTCAGTGCTTCCAAGTTTTCCATGGTGGTCTAACACCAATCGGTTCATGATCTAAATCAAATATGCTTTTTCAATATTCTAAATTTATTTTGACATTTTAATGATACAATTAACAAAATACACTTGTTTCCTTCTAGTCCCGGCACTATTTATTGTTGAAGGCTTTGTTAAGTAATCACAGGTTATTAGTAAAAGCCTTGTGTAAAGATATCATACATAATCAACATTTACTTACAATCTTGAAGTAACTGTTAGTCCACATGAGGCTCATCTTTGTATCTCATATACTAACGGTTATAATTTAACTCGATTGTAAGGATTCAAAAAGTATTAGATATTGCAGAAATATGACATTGTTCATTGCTTAGTAATCAATCAATATGAACTCAGAAATTTCCTTTTTCTCAGTTTATTATTTGCATGGAACAAATACTAGGAAAGTAAACAAATGACAAAAGTAAACAGGATGGTAAAAAAGAGTGGATATACACTAAAGAACAAATGATTTATTGGTATTTATTGTTAACTAGGAAATTTTGATGGAGTTTTGTTCTATGAGCTGAATGGTTTGGCCGTGGAGCTTTCATCGTTCTTCTGAACGACATCACCATCACAAACTTGAGGTAGATGTCGTTCAGAAGAACGACGAAATTTCCACGGCCAAACCGCCCCTAAGTGCCCTAGTACGGCCGAGAGTAGGAAGAGTCCACTCTCCCACACGTATATAGCCTCTGTCAGGGAAGTCCTACTAATTACCTTATCTTGGCGGGGGTGTCGTTTACGGAATTGAGAGGACGAAATGCGAATATCCGGCACTTTAACTGAGTTGGTGGACACGGTGAGTTCACCTAGGGGAGTTGGAAAACCCTGATTACAAACCAATGGTTCACATGGGCTCCAGTATCCTGAAGTAACAAATGGCATATGAACCAATCGTTGGTCACCGGCCACCATGGGACTGCATCTCCTTACGATGTTCCACTACTATGTGGATCAGACCTTTAAGTCAAAGGCTCCGGTTGTGACCCCCTAAGAAAACCATCTACTTTGGTTTGGGCACTCGTCCAGTATCACAGCCCTCACACATATCGAATGAGATTTGTGT